CGAACGCACGGTTAGTGAGTTCACGGAGACTCAGTGACTCGGCGACTGAGTGCTTTGTCCCTCTTCGTGCCCCACCACCGACTCCCGAGTCAGCCAGGGAAGATGCCGTGGAGGCCGTCCGGGTCGCTCAAGGCGGGACTGCTTGCCCGCCGTGTCGGGCACGCGTAGGGCGCGCGTCGGGGCGCGCGCGGCGCGCGGGGTGTGGAACTGCCCCTCCTGGAAAACATCCACCTCACTGAAAGATGATTTGTCCGATATGCTGGAACAGCCCAACTACAGACTTATAACTATAGCTATAAAGAGGATATGCCCCTGCGCCAGAAACTGTCCGTGATTCCCTAGAAGTCCAGTTTGGGGACGAATTTGTTGGCAACACCGAAGGTCCAACACCAATGGCTTTTCAGGTCACCTGAGGACCATTGGACTGATGTTGTTGTGAATGACTAGATTGAAGATGGTAGATGGCACGACCCGAAAGAGAAACGGAGTTTGTCTTGGACATTTGGGTGTGGAGCTTTAATAGGGAGGTGTGCCACCATGTCCGTTTGTTCATTCTTCCAGGCGGTTTTTGGGGTCTCCCTATTCTTTAAAACACTCATTTGGACACTTGCCGAGTCTCCCACAGGAACACCCAACCAATTCGATTTGTTTTGGAACCCATGCAGTGTCACGAAAGGCTCATCCCATGGAAAAGAAACGGAGACGCTGGGTACCAGTACAACTTGGCATTTTCCGAGAAAGAGTTTAGAGTCAGAGTGTGTTAAATAGATGGCAACCCACTATAATTTGTCATGCTAGAAGAACTACATTATATTCTTATATTTTGTATGTTTAATGATTAACTATAATACTAGCAAGTCTTCTGAAATACCAGACACGCCAATTCATACGATGAGACCTTGACCTTTAGCAAGTCTTTAAAGACTGTGCTTTGATGGTGACCTTATCCGATAAGTGCTTTTTACACATGTACTGGATAGTCTCTACAATTGGTTGTCCTAATGATTGTCTAATTTAGATGCATGGCTTTGTCGTGATAAAGCGAAAGAAGTACTTAGGTCTTTTTCGAAGTCCATTGTACATCCCAGTCCGAAACTCCCGTCGCGCCCTGGAGGTTCCATATGGGTCAGGGAGTAGAAGGTTCAGTTGAAAGGCCTACACACCATGCCTGGTTCCTTTTCTTGACGCCTTCGGTGACACCGCGAACCACGAGTGGCGTCCGTCCCACGGAAGTGCTGTTCGTTCCAGTTTGTTTCGGCAGTGTCCGTCCCACGGAGGTACACGAAAAGACCTGTTCGGCTATTATGTTTAAAATCCGTATATTTTATGTTAATAACCGTATATGTGTTTTTTCCCGAGAGCGTCTGAGCGAAGGGTTCTTCAAAAAGAAGGAGGTGTAAATCACATAAAAGATCTTCAAATCTGACATCTTCTCACACTTCACATCTTCTCACATCTTCTCTCACATCTTCACATCTCTCTTCTTTATTCTTTCTCTCTTAAGACGGGGGGCAGGCCCGGCGGACCATCACGAACGTCAACCCTCTGCGGAGATCGTGCATGTCGGATGCGCGAAACCTAGGCGAAACTGCGTTACCCAGTGTGCTTGGGCAACCCTCTGCGGAGATCGTTTGTGTCGAATGTCTGAAATGTGCGCTGTGACATTGGGACGCTGTAATCACAGATTTCTGTTGTTGCGAATGTCTCGTAGGAAACGCTCGTTTTGGAAGGTTTCCTTTGTTGCTTTTGTCTCGTACGAAGCGCTCGTTTTGGGAGGTTTGCTTCTGCGTTTTTGCGAGTGTCTCGCACGAAGCGCTCGTTTTGGGTGGTTGCTTCTGCGTTTTTGCAAATGTCTCGGACGAAGCTCTCGTTTTGGGAGGTTTGCTTCCGCGTTTTTGCGGATGTCTCGTATGAAACGTGGACCAGTTTGTTTTTGCGTTTTTGCGAATGCTTCGTACGCTGAGCAACGTTGCTTGCAACACTTGAAACTTGAACGGACAAAAGGCACATGTTTTGTATATCTTTGGCAAGAAGGATTCTGCCAGTTCTGTGAAGACGCGGCGTGTCGCTGGTGAGCGGGATGATTGGCGGTATCGTGTGATATGATTGCTTCTAGTGTGTGGGCAGACCGTGTGGCGAATTACGTTCGTGATGTCGCAGTGCCATGCGGATTTGCGAGGTCTTGGTGGGAAGTGCGTTTGCGTGGCACCGTGCCTCTGGGGAGCGCGAAACATGCTGGTGTAAATGCGGCGTGTCGCTGGTGAGCGGGATGATTGGCGGTATCGTGCGATATGATTGCTGGTAGTGTGTGGGCAGAACGTGTGGCGAAATTACGTTCGTGATGTCGCAGTGCCACGCGGATTTGCGCGGCCTTGGTGGGAAGTGCGTTTGCGTGCCGCCGTGCGACTGGGGAGCGCGAAACAGGCTGGTGTAAACGGGGCGTGTCGCTGGTGAGCGGGATGATTGGTGGTATTGTGTGATGGGCTTAGGACTGCTTCTAGCGTGTGGGCAGACCGTGTGGCACGCTCACATCCGCAGATCTGCCTCTCTACCTCCACACCCCCACCCATCTCCACATCTATATCACACCTGCACATCCACACTGTCGCTCCTTCACATCCGCCCTCTCTTTCTCTCCTTCTACATATCTTTTCTCTAAATATTTTAAGTCTAATTTCTTCGCAGCTTCTTACTCAATAACAGATGGTATAAAGAAGTCATGGCTCTTGGACAACTCGATTTTCACTATTTCCTTTCTCGGAATTGCTTGACAATCACCTTTCTCGCTCTTGGGACCCTCTCCTCTCCTCCCCAAACGTTTGGGTTTGGCCTCCTGTTTGGTTATCTACTTGAGAAGGTATAGATACAGAATGGTGGTGTTAGTTTGGGGTGTTGGTCCCCACATCATTCTGTATCTATACCCTCTGGTCCCCGTATAAGCTGTGTCTGGTATTATATCTAGATATTACTATTCTAGAGCGGTACTTCCTGCTCTCATGTTTCACTCCGCTGTGTGTTTTGCGATTTTTGTCGAGTTACACAGAAACTTAGTTGCTTGCTTCGATGACTTTGAATATCCCATGGTGGGCAGGCAGTGAAGCTTTGGAGGATGAGATGGATGAGCAACGTTTCGTCCAGATGGAAGCAGTCACCGATCCTTTTTTGCAAGCATTGAATGACCAGGACCTGCCACCGGCCAGATATGCCTTTGAATTGCTGAAGCAGCATACGTTGAACCGGCAACAGATCTTAGCAGTTGCGCCGATTGTTTGGTCTGTGGAACAAATCAGGCCTCCCACTGCCACTTGGCCGATGGGACGCGCACGGATAGCTGTAGGACTCTGTGGTTGGGTGCAGGCGGCTCAGGCAAAACCTATGCTTACAATACAGTTCTGCGTCTACTTTTTCGTCGATTTTTCGGAGAGGATGGCTACGTGGTTGGTGCTCCAACACACGCTGCAGTGCTGCTCGTCGTCCTCAGCAGTCAAACAGGAGACGGAACAGAGCACAAGGACTTGGTCCTCCCGAGCACGGTCACGAACACCATCTCGAACTGTCCTTAAGAAGGCTGACCATGCACCGGGAACCGCCCGCACTCCATCCGAGGGTCGCAGAGTCTCGTTTTCCGATACGCCGGAAACGAAGTATTTTGATCCACAGCCTGAGAAACGCGCGACCTCGCGAGCGCGGGAAGTCATCAGCGATGCAAAGAAGCGAAAGAAGGTACTTTCATCGCCCTGAAAAGATGACTTGCCTTATTTGTGCTCAGGCCGATGTCCTATTCTTTTGTCGCGCATGCGGCCATGGATCATGTCTCGGCTGTTATCACGAGGCCGACAATCATTGTGCACGCAATCGAATCTATCTTTGTTCGACAGTCCTGCACAAATGGGCGAAAATGTATAGGTCCGAGCTCTGGTCTCGATCGCCGAAACCTTCACTCGGCCAAGAGCAAAGGAGAGAGAGAGAGAAGGAGACAGAGAGAGAGAGAGAAGGAGAGAGAGAGAGCCGTAGCCATTTTGGCTCAAGCAGATCTGATCTCTGAATCATAGCTCGACACGACGGCGTCGCTCATCGCGTGGATCGCGTCACAGACAAGACAAGGCTTCTGCATTCCGCAGGAGGCAAGACAAGTACCGAGGACAGCGATGACGACCATCCCATAAGGAGGAAATCAGGCCTTGATCGGCTCTCAAGCGTTGGCAGGATGCGTCGGGCGCGATGACGCCGCGACAAAAGGTGACATTGTGGGAGCCCTTCACGAAGCGCTTGGCCAAGCATCCCCCGAGACAGCAGACATCGGGGTGAAGGTGGGCTCCTTGCTTCGTCAAGAGCAGCTCAAGTTGGACCTCAGCAATACTTGGAGCAATGGTTTGGAGATGTTCCGATTTGTATTCGGTTGGCTGACTTTTTGCAACTTCGCCCCACAGCACAAAAGTCCTTGTGCGAATGGCGAACAAAGGGCCATCGACCCTGTCGAGGCGACGAAGACAGCCTTGACGCATTATGGCTTAAGGCAAGGTTTGGTTGCCTTCTTGTCGAAGCCTGTGTGATGACGGGTAGCTTCTGAGGAACTTCCTTGGCCAATGGAAGTGCTCCATTGGATGTGCCAAGCCGTAAAAGTGGCACTGCAACTGAACGGCGACGATATATACCACTTGTGAGTAGGTTGTCTGATCTGGTTGCGATCCGATGGGGTGGCCGCCCAGTTCGCGCGTATGGCCGAAAGCCAAATGGCACCGGAGGGATTTCTCTGACTGAAATCAGGCTGGCCAAGCCATTTCTGAATGGTTGCCTGCCGAAACACCATGCATGACCTTCACCCCGGGTTACAATTGGTTAATGTAGAGTCTAGGGCTCAAGGTAAGCAGAACTTGAATACTGAACCTTGAAAGCCCCAGAACTCAAGAGGACGCCAATGAGCTAAGCTATAGCGGCTGGCAACCGTGCTGACTGGCTTGACTTACTGCACGGTGTGACCGTGTACTTTGGCGAAGGCCATGCTGAGTACACGCCAAGTGATTTCCAGTGGGCTGCAGATGTTGGCTAACCTGGATTCGAAAGCTGACATGGTGACTTGGGAAGCAGTGTGTGCTGCTGTCAGCCAGTGTCATTGCAAAAGCCGTCAGAGTGGCACTTCTTCAGATCGGGCAGAGATGACCTGCTGCGGTGAAGATCAAGAAAAGCCTGTTGAGGACAATGCCTTTGTGGTTCTGCACGGCTTCAACAGACCAGCCAAAGCCGATAGACAAAGACAAGAGGATGTGAAGGACTACCAGCCATGTCTGGGGTTCATGGACGGGCGAAAGTGCATGGATGGTTGGAGGGCAGATAGAGCCACTTCAAACCTATTTGTGTCAGTGGGCGAGATGCCGGCAAGGGACAAAGATGCTGCAGTGCCATCGGGCAGCTGCCAAGTTCTCATGTGTGAGCCGAAGTTGCGCTATGTGACTTTTACCACACCACACAACCATGGTTCCTTCAACGAAAAGAATGTCAGGGATTGCCTCTTCGTACCCAGTAGGAACACCCGGCATTTTGTGAGCGGCTTGGTTGCGGGCTGGTCTAGTTTTGTGAACCGGCTTTGATTATGCAGCGCAAGTTGGCGTTTTCATTTCAAACATGCAAGAAGAATCACCATCATGCCCGGCATGCGGATGCAAGGTGTGTTGTTGTACAGTTGCAGCACGGCCTTGTTTTTGTTCCCCGGTATTGTTTTTGACCATCTCTTTGAGAAGCCAATTTCACAAATTTGTTGAATTCTATTGTTGTGTTGGACAGGCCATAAGAGGCTTTTGTCAGCAACCAGCTTTTGCCCCGAGATCCACTCGCATCGACGCTGGACAGCGCCACTTTTCATCAGTGTCGACATAGGAAGCGAGGTGTGATTAATCAGGGATGACTGCATGTAATTAGGGAATTCATTTTGCGAGGCGCTGAACCTTAGCGGACCTGTGCGCTAAAGAAGAAGAATTGTCACGTGGACAGCCACCGATTTCGGCTTCCCGGTGGTATTTGGGGGATATGAAGTAGGATCGGCCTGGGGAAATTGGCATCACACCCCATACAGTTGACTGGTTAGATCCTGATCCTTCAAGCCACCATGCATCCTTTGAACTCATGGAAGTGCTCCAACACTGTTTGCTATTTACGGAGGTGGTTCCCTCTGGTCCCTGGACTTCTCTGTCAGTCTGTACCTTCGACTCGTCGACCGCTTGCCACGTCCATGTCCCAAAGCATCCACCGAAAACGGCCCAGCTTTGGCCACGGAGCGGCCATTGGCGAGTTCCTCGGCGAGCGCGCCCGCAGGCGCGGCCGCGACGGGACCGTTGGCGGGGGGGGGGGTTGAGAGGCCGTTTGGTGCCTCCGTTTGATTCTTGTTTCTTGCAAAACATGCAGCCTAGTGTTGCAGGTGCATGGATTCCAGCATGTGGGTCCAGGAATTTCAATCCATACTAAAGGGCTATGCCATTGGACTTGGAAGGATCATACCAAGAAATAGCACGGCGTTTTGCATGGATTGCCAGGTTGGTTTTTCGATCGAACCCTCTGTCTGAACCGTCCCTTTCCGTCCATCGAGAGTGAAGAAGCACGCGGTCTGCAAACGGAGTGGTCGCCGTCGGTGGTCCCGAGCCGAGCCGAGCCTCGTCCAGGTGCCGTGGGTCCGTGCGGTCCTTAGGGCCGAGCTGGTCGAGGAAGGCGCCGAGGCCTTGCGCGATCGAAACCTGGGGATGTGCAGCAAGACCGATGAAAAACGGAACACATCTGATCATTTTGGTCGGTCTGACCGTGTGAAAAAGTTCGGGAAACTCATGGAACCTGAGCGAAACCGGAAACCAGACTGATACACATCAGGGATCATAAAGGACACACCTGCGGAGCGCCTCATCCTGCGGTGTTTGTGGACGGTTGATGTGTGAAACACTCGCTTTCACCACTTGCGTGGCTGCAGTGCCTGGAAGGTGGGTGTTCCCAGGTGGTTAGCAGGTACATGTCCTAATTATATAGCATGATGGACCAAAATCACGTCGTGCCCTGATAGCAGGACTGAGGCACAAGAAAAGAATATCAACTGATGGCGTCACATGTTGAGATCAAGACCATGTGTCGGTCAGTGTTTTTCAGCTTGCACGACCGCCATAGGTTCAGTGCATGCGACACTCTGGTATTTGACCCAAATAAGTGGATTCACTTCTCCCTTTTGCTTGGCCTTGTTGTGCCAAGCCAAGTCCACTGGTCAAACCGAAGTCTTCCATCCTAAGCCTTTCAGCGACCCGAGCTGAAACCGAGGTCGACCCCAAGCACTCGAGGTGGGGGCAGGGTGGTGACGGCGACGGCGTGACACGAGTGGTTGTTTTGGTGCAGTGACACTCTGAGAAACACATACAAACACCATTTTGGGAAGACATGGCCATGGAAGTGGGAAATAGGATGAAATAGTCCTAACATGGAGATGGGATATAGGCGAAATTGGCCAAGGGGGAGACCGTGTTTTCGCAAGCGTTGAACCATGATTTGTTGGTTGGAGGATTGGTGGATTGGTTTAGAGGTGGAGAAAGGTCCAATATCTCCCAATGCCCCAAGTCACAAAATGACATGGCCGCGCATCTGCACATGGTGTTCAACTGGACTCCGCTGCAACGGCATCGCTACAGATCGGGAGGAGTGGACATCCTTTTCCAACGCCATATCGCTAGGAAGTGAGGACAACTCTCACACACCATATCAGGACACCCCCTTCAATTCATTGAAAGACCCTTCCTACTCTTTCTGCCTGGATTGAGAAACAACATTGGAACGCCAACAACCCGTGGGAACCGGAGGCAGTCTGTTGTACTGTGATGGAATAAATGGCTGTTTGCCGTTTTGGAGATCACCGATCATGGCATCTTCGTGCCTCCTCTACAATGTTCTCGACCATTCTGCAAATCTGTGAAGCGGCTACACATGGAACAAGGGATGGTTCTCGATTCTCAGCTGGTGTAGGAGACCTTGTTCGGGATTTGGGTCCAGTGGTCGATCACGACCAGTTCACTATCCTCAGTAAGTGAACATGGGAACGACATGCTGAAGTGTCCTAGGTTTCCAAGGATTCGTCCCCCAAAACGTGACCACCAGTGGACTGGCTTAATGTTGATGTCCTCCCACCACACAGGTGACAGTGCCCTTTCCCCCAAAAAACACAGGTCTTCGTAGTCTCTCGTCTCCCCTGGGAGGTTCTCAACTCCGCATCACCGGATCCGAATTGGTACTTTTCCACGGCATCAAAAGTCAGATCACTCTTCCTTTGTCTGGAACACCCAGGCCCCAAGCGCAAGCCGGTCAAGGGCGGCAAAGCTGGAGCTGCACGTGGCCGGAGCTGTGGGGGGCGGCGTTTGAAGGAGCCTGGGATGACATGGGGTTTTCCATAGTTGATACTCGTAGGGATGTTGGGTTGTTGTTGGGGGTTCCATGTGCTGCTGGGAATCAGGAAAGGAGGATCTTCGAAAGCACATCTTCAGCTGGACGAGCTGTGGGGTGGTGAAAAGCACAGAGACTTGTGGGGTGAAAGGGAGGATGAAGTCCATGCAGCAAGCAGCGGTGGAGCCTTTTGAACATTTTGGCGAAGCGGGGAGTTCGGCTGTGCCATTGCAAGAAGCAAAGCGCTGGTCAGGTATCCTCATGGTAGGAACCAGCTGTATATATGGTTGTATTCTGACTTTATGTGGGTAGACAACTTCTTCACAAAGCCTGCAATGCAGCTCGTTATGCTCACCTGCATTGGCCCTCAAGCACCTTGTGACCCTTGATACAGACTGGCTATCACTTTGCTAATTGTCCACAACCAAATCGCACACAATGGCAACCTTCGGTATAAACTCAGTCCAGTGGGAGCCCCAAGCGATTGCATCAATTTCTCAGGTGTGAAAGATCCATAGTTCCACATCAAAACCTACGAATGTCGAAACCAAATGCACGTGGATCCTGTCCTGCAGATTAACATCGACCCCCCAAAAACAAGAGGGTGGGTGTGCTTGGGAGAGCACACACTGGCTCAAAACCCTTAGAAAACACTGTAAATACCGGGTGTGGGTCTTCGGACAAATGCACCGACACCGGTGAAGTCGCTTCGGTTCGCCGGGCGCTTCTGCCACAGGTGCCGGAACCAGTGGCACAGCCACGGCCGGAGTGCTCAGGGCAGCGGATGGGTGGGCAGGGGAGCGGTGTGGAGCACCACTTTGCACGAGTCTTTTTCGACCCTGGACCCTCCTAAGTAATACCCAGACCCTCATATGGGGCGGGTCGGGACTGTCAGATCCCTAGCATTTCATTGACCAAGGCCTGTTTTGAGTCTTAGGTTTAAATGCAGGCTGTTCGTATAGCGCTTTTAAGCCGTTGTTGGGGCGGCCCAGGGCCACGAAATCTGTGGACAGAAGTTTCAGTGCTTTTTGGTCGGTTTGAGAAAGCAAGGCTTCGTTTGGGCTTTTTGTAACTGAGCCCAAAAGGGAGAAGCATGGACCTGGAGGTTCTGAGGTTCGTCTTTTCCCCGTTCACCGCTTTGATGGGGGGTTTGGGGCCATATGGATATTGGGAAGGTCTTAAGTCTTACCCTCCCTGATAACAATGAGAGTGGAACCTGGGCCACTGCAGGACGGCGTTGCGAACACATGCATCAGCTTGCACAGTCGAAAGTGTTGAATCAAAACAGCTTGTTCTGTACGGTTCTTTTTTTGCTGTATGAACTCCCAATTGAAGAGGGGCAGAAAGACGTTGCTGAGCTGAAATGGACACCCCCAAAATACAACATGACCTTGGCTCAGATAGGATTTCAGCTGACCGCATCGGTTTGGCCTCGGGGCGGGCGCGTTTGGTGGCCTGGGTTTGCCCGGGCGGAAAGCGGATGCCGATCCAAGGCGCTTGCTGCCCGAAATGGAGCACCGGCCGTCAGGGCAGCTCAGTGGACAGTCCGATCATCGGTTCAATCATCAGTCCCACTCGGGCGGAGGTGGATAAGATGAAGCTGCGGAAGCCATTCCAACGCCCATGTTTGATGGAATGGACATCTAGCTGGGTGTTGGGTGGAGTAGGAAATATTCGGAAATATCATCCATCCTGCTAATGTGAAGTTTGGTTCATTCATGTGATCCCTTCACTGCCATTCACCGGTCGCATTACCTCTCTAAATTCCCCTCAGGGTGAGAACCTGAGATCTCGCATGCTGGAGAAGATGGGAGCGCGACAGCCGTAGTTCGATGTCCCGGCTCCTTCAGCCTTTGTTTCGCACATACAACCGTGCTCCTTCGGATTTCCGATAAAACAGCAGTAAAGAGCTGTTGGGTTCCAGATTTGCTTGTGACATGCACCCCCACACTAGTCATGCCCCCAGGCAGCTGCCACCAAATCCCATAAAATGCAGACGGAAGAGGGACTGCAGTTGACAAAGTCCCGGTTGTGAACCCCATACTGTAGGCTTCTTTACACACGGAAACAAGAATATACAAGAATAATCCATGAGTGTAGCGGCAAGTTGCAACACAAAACAAAGACACTATGCAAGTTGGACGACAACGAGAACCATGTCGCGCTCCAATGTCGCTCGTTAGCAGTGCCGCCCAACTTACTAGGGCACGGTGTACGGTGTGTGGTGTGAAAACCGTGCTCGAGGCCAGAGACCGTCGTGTCATGGCCATGACCTTGGGGCGAACTGAGTTAGCGGCGAACCCCACCAAAGTGAAAACGTTTGACTCTGAGGATGCTCCAAGACGCTGTGGAGAGCAATCTGTCTGGAGTTTTTCCAGTTTGCAAACGAGCAGATCACTCAGAATGGCCAGGGAAGCATCCTGCTTCATTTTGCGTTGGAACCAACACTCGCAGGTGCATTTCGGGAGACAATCTTGCCAACCTCCTGAATCCGGGTTCATTTCGGATAGCAGCAAAAGATATAGAGATCACCAGGAGCACCATGCATACGCCTGCCCTCACCAATTGGAACTGTCACTGGAGACCGAGATGCTGATGAAGTTGCTGCAGCCAAGTTGATGAAGACTGCATTTTTTGAGCGGAGCAATTCCCATGCAAAGTTTGCCTCATGAAAACAACATGGGACAACGCATGGAACACAACAAGTCCTCTGAAGAAGGTGGAGGAGGTATGCTTGGCTGTTGAACTCATGGCTTCCTGCAATTACAAATCTGATCCAAACTCAGACAAATCTTTGAACCCATTTCAATTGCTCAAGATCAAACGCACACCACAGTTCGACTCGGCAGGGCTACATGCACGCGCGCGCCATTCTTTGTAGTCCTGCCTTCTCCATGTTTTGTCCACTCCAGCTTTGCGTCCATTCTTGGCCCCGCCGTGGTGGCCTTCCGGGTCTGTGCGCTCTGCTTGGCTGCGCCGTGGGTGGTTTTTATCCGGTCTTGAAGTGTTTTGCTTGGCTGCGCTGTGGGTCCTTTCCTGCGACTTGTCCAGGCCTGTCCGAGTCTGTGCCTTTTTGGCCGCGCCAGTTTTGACATTGTGTTCCTTGTCAAGGCCTTGTTCCTTGTACCTCAGCCTAGAGTGAAGAGCCGGACATCATCACGACCTGGCCTTCTTCAGTCGACCGTCCTGCATCCTATTAAGCCATTTTCTGGCGTTCGCTCTGGTCCGCCGACCAAAGCACCTCCGGCCGGAGATCCTTTGAGTTGACGGGCCAGTGACGACCAAAAAGTGTAAAGCAACCCATTCCAGTAGGCATTCTTAGTTACTACGTTCGTAAGACACCTGTTACTACTAGCGTGGCACTTGTTTCTAGTAGCTTCTTGTTACTATGATGCCTGAACATGTTCTAAACATCTGAACAGTGCAGTACTCACAGGGATGTCTTGAAGGTCGAGAGCCAAGTGGACTTGATCCTTTCGCCCCGAAATGCTGCCCCTATTCCGACAAGTCAATGCCGACAACGATACGGGTAGTGCCCAAAATAGTCAAAAGGGGACAAAGGACGCTGATGTCATATCTTGTAAGCTGATACAAAACGAGGGGGAGTAATGTTGTGCAGTTTCTCAGGAAAATGTTTGAGTACATATCATGGTGTCGTTCTCGAAATACACGGCTTGTAGGTTCATAAGTATAGTTTGCAGAACTGTAGGGGGCTAGGCTATCTAGATCATCTAGACAAAATCTAGGCTTGTAAACTTCACGCCAGACCCGTTTTTCTAGAGGAAGCACTTCCCAACTTAGCAGGGGAGTAGAGAACGACATCAAAAGACATAGTGCTTTTTATGACTGTTCCATTTTCATGGGGTTGATGATGGGTTTGGGGGGCAAATAGTTGATGTGGTTGTTGGGACCAGATTCCAGATGGTTCCTAGAATAACTTGGCAAAAGAAAAAGCATGTCGAACTGCAGAAATGCTAAGAATGAATTCTACCTCGGGCTCAGAAGCTAAAGCCAAACGCTAATGGCTTTAGGGCGCCTGAGGCAGCTACGTCACGCACTGCATCGCGACCCAGTGCAGCGGCACCAGTGCGGGGTTTTCATCGAACAAAGCATGGCAGCTCCGAGGCATTTTGCGATGGACATCGGGGTGGTTGAAGCTAGGATAAGCTAGGTATTAATTGACTCCCTGATTTGGACCCGAAAAGAAATGCTGGAAGTGGGACATGATGGGCTACTACCCTTTGAACCCGAGATGAAAGTGTGGAAACGGAAGGCGACTTTCCTTGAAAAGGGACGTTCTTCCAAGTAAAGGGTCGTCGCAAAGTATCCAACGAAGGAACTCTTTGGTCCCATGAGTAGCAGGGCCTTGGGAGGCCCCTTGGGCCTTTCCGTCCATCCCATAAAATCCGTCCACTTGGGTTCCGCGGCCTTCACCACTTGCCATCCTCCACGGGCCTTCCCTTTTTCACGTGTTCGCGTGGTGGATGAGCACTGATTCGAACAACATCCACAGGATCGCGTCCTGGGCACGGGATCAGGACAGGATGGCCCATGGGTCATTCACTCGCAGGGCCATGGGGTGAGCAGGCGTCGACTGGTTTTGGGTTGGGATCTCTGTCCGCGGGGAGGGTTTGCTAGTATATCTCTGGCCGCCATGGGGGCATCTTTTTTGTTTTCTTTCCAGCTTCCTGGTTTCCTGGAGAGGAAGCTGCAAGTACGATCCCAAGTACACGTCCATTCGCCGGCGGTCGGCGGATTCCGCGGATTCCGTTCCTCAAACAGGACGCAGATCCGTAACAATCTCATTCCCCCGAAGAAAAAGAATGTGATGAACATCAAAGAGACATAAAAGGAGGCCGTCTCAGACCAGTTGCTGTGTGCCAACAGACCGTTCCGGTTTCATCCCCCGTTCACCCACCAACCGTGACCGTCTCCGAGGCATGTTCGTGACCGTCTCCGCCGATGGTCTGGTGGCGAAGCACGAGGTCGGTCGGTCGCTTTCCGCCGTGGGGAGTCATGGAGCGAATGCGCCCGGACCGGGCTTGTGAGGTGTTTCGGAATGGGGGGAAAGGTCTGTTTTGGGGGTGGTTGATTTGGGGGTGTGATTTTGTATGGCGCAGGGGATGCTTTTTGGGGGTGGTTGATGATTGAAGATGCAGCAAACTAAGCAAACATTGTCCAAGTACCAGAGCAGCTCTCCCCTGTTCAACCACCCAAATGCAGGTAGATGTAGAGTGGTTTCAGAGTAGATGGCACAATCCTCAAAAGGTGTTTCATATGACATGTAGGGGGGTGCCAGTGCCATCTACTCTGAAACCACTAATCCCGTCCAAAAAAACACGCGGCCCCCCCCCCTAATAAGGAGACCTCAGTCGCCCTCTTTGAATAGGGGGTCCCTGAAATCGGATAATCGGGGTGGTCCAAAATAGGGTCACCCGGGAAGGGCTTCAAAACCAAAAAGTCACCCAGGATTTGTTTTTTATAAAATCCTTTATTAAACTCGTATCAAAAATTCAAAAAAAGTACTTACAGATCGAAAGCCTGCTGGTGTAAACACGGCATGTCATGGTGGATAGACAGGGTGGACAGACGTGGGCAGTTAAGGTTGTTTTGGAACCTAATTTAAACAAACAAACAAAAAACTCCTCCAAAATCGGCCATGTTGGTAGTTTAGTAGCGGTTTGAAAGGGCGGCAATTTAAAAACAAATATAAACCGTATTCAGGGGTTTCTGGCATGTAATAAGGGTCCGTTTTTTAATAGGTACTCGGGATTATACCAGTCCCATTGGTCGTGTTTGGGGTGGGAACCATACTGGGACCCCTGGCACCACCGATGTGTCGCAAAGACTTCCGGTTCCGGTGCTCGGTGCTCGGTTCGTTTTGGGCTATCATCCAGAAGATGCGTTTAACAGCAAGTTTATCCTGGCACCAGGGTTTATCAGGCTACCTGTGTCAACCAAGACAATCCTACAGTTTCACATCAAGACTATACAACAGAGATCATACCTGGGCGCCCTGTTCGGGGTGCCAATAGCCCCGAAAAGCGCGGATTCCAGGTGTCCATCCCATTCTATACCAGCAACAGTTAGTAAAAGATCATATCACTCTTGTTGGGAAAAAAGGGGTTGAACCAAACATAAACCTATAAGCATCATCCATTGCATCTCCAGTCAGTTTGTTGCTCCCGCTGGAGCCTCCGTGAGCAGTGTGAAGCAGGCGCCCTTCGAAGACGACATGTTCGGCGGCGTCCTGGGCGTCGAGCCGCTCCAGCAGGAGCCGCGCGGGTCCTGGAAGGTGGATCCGAGCTGTTCGGAATCCGGCCGTGCATGGCCGTGGTGTGAACACCTGTCTTTATGAAAACACTGGTCTATATGAACGTCTATGTGAACGACCAGTGTTGTATCCACATTAACGACCAGTGTTGACGATCAAAAGGGAAGGGAAGCTCAGACTCTCCGATCCACTTTTCTTCCGGCATGCTTTGTTTCAGGTGCCAGAAATCGTACACATAGAAATCCGCCACAACAGGTCCATCCTGGATGATTTGGACTGTCAAACCACTCGATCAAACCAGGAGCCGCGGGGCTTTTACTTCGAAGTGAAGGTGCAAGAAGCGGCCACAGGCCGTGTTCGGATGGAATCGGACGTGGTTCCGTGGTGGATGGAGGAAGAGGAACCAACCAACTGGGATATCCAAATCCCCAGTGGTTTGCGATGGAACATGGCTTGGATTTCAAGACACATGGCGGTCGCACGCGGAGCCCGATCAGGGCTCCGCGTCCCTGGCAGGTTGACCTCCATTAAGTAGTCTATTCTGTTTCGTTGGTCAACCCAGGGTCCGTGATTTTGCCTATTCTTTCGCCTGATGTTGAATCCCCTGGGCTTGCAGTCACACACCCACTAAGCTCAAAGTCAACGATGTTTCAGAAAGCTTGCTTTTCAGAGCCATTGGCATCATGTGTTGAATGCTTTGGCGATCAAATACCAATCTTCCTTGCTCACGAAACCATGCTGTCCGTGCTTTGAGAACGCCAGCTGTCCGTGCGCTTGGAAACGAAGGAGGGCTCAAAAGGTTGGCCATGTTAAAAGTAAATGCATTCAGGTGCCTTCTTTGCCAATGCATGGCTGAACATCATGACTTCAATTGGACAGTATGCAAGGAAGCTGTGAAAAGATTGAAGTGTAGATAGTTCAGGATATGAAAGACAGAACAAAAACAAAAAAAAAGACATTCTTTCCAAAGGAACCTTGAAGTTTGGGTGACACCTGTTCCCGAAGTTCCTTCCTCACCAATCCTCCTTCCTCGTGAGGCCATCCAGATGGCTTGGCGGTGGGAGTGACCACGGAGAATCCCGCCACGTTGAAGGAAGTGCCCGAGATCTTGGATGGACTGAAGCAGGCGCGGAGCCAGATCCAAGGAGTCGGAGTCCCGGGCAGCAGCGGCAGGGCGAGTTGGAGCGCGCGGGCGACCGAGATGGGATCGACCGAAGGCGGAGCCGGAGGGGCTTTGGGCCGACTTTTGGCCGGAAGCTGGAGGGGCTTTTGGCCGAAGCTGCTCTCTTCGTTCGTGGGTGAAGGAAAGGTGGGTTCGGTGTTGATGAGTTTTGAAGGGGAAGATGCCGTTGAGGCCATGAGCTGACAACAGATCATTGAAAGATGGGTCATCATGGATCACATCTTGGCTTGCTCAAAGATACACTTTCACCGCATCAAGAAAGCCCTGACCGCATCCAAACGGCGTCCCTTGATCGAAAGGGGATCACAAAAAGTCAACAAAAGGGGAACCAACGACCGCATCACCCTGAAAAACCTCTATCCATCACCCCGTGGCCACACCGCGACTCCTGGACACCCCGAACGGTCATCCTCCCCCCGCTCGGCACGCCGATCGCAGGACGCAGGACTCATGGGACCAATCATCGGTCCCCCAAAGACTACTGAGTCGGGAGAAGAAGTAGACATCCTCCAACCTATAGCTGCTAGTATGGCTGGTTGGTCATGTATGGCTGCCATTGCCCAACACAAACCTAGCAAAAGGAAGCTAAGAGCCATGGCCTGGCTGTCCGGATCGTAGATGGTCTGCTTGGCACCAGGCCTGGCTGGTGGGCTTCGACGGCATCATGTACGACGGCCACGACTTCACGGAGATCGACTGGTATCCGGCGGAGCTGCGCATCGGCCGCTCAGCATAGCATGACAGGGGACGGAGGGGAAGACGATGGGCTGGGCAGTGTGGATAACGGCGGTGAGCGCGCGGGGAGGGCTGGAAGAGCGTAGTGAGTGGAACGGATTGAGTAGAGTGGATAGGATGAAGGGATTCTAGTTGGCAAGGAGTGGCGACTGAAGACTTGATACCGGTCCCAGTCTGCTTCGTGGCCCCAAAAAATAGTTCCTCAGACTACCCAAGTTGGAATTCGCCTGGCGAATTCCTGGGAACAATGGTATAACTTCATATGCGTTTACCATATTCCCAACCTTGGTGGTTGAGGACAATGCATCTACCATCTTCACCCAAATCCTCAACCTCATTCTCCACATCTTCCGGGAGTCTCCCGGTCGGTCGGTCGCCATCTTCGTGCAAGGCGACCGTGTGGGGGTCTTGATCACTCCGAAGGGGCAGATGCAAGTCTTCGCCACTTGGACGGAGAACCTGGGCCCGCTGGGTGTGGCTGGTCCCGATGGCGGTTGCAACTGGTCCAATCCCCTGGCCCGTACGGGCCTGAAGGTTTGCCCTGGACTCACACGAAGGGGGGAGAGATGAGCAGTGATCCACGTCGGGATCCAAGCACGGCAAGACCTAATTATGGACAAAACAGCTGTTGAGTGACCTGGACAAAGAGGGTTTCTTTGTGGGACCTGCCGTGCCTAATGACACATGGTTAGGTCCATCAAGGTTGTCAAGACCAACTTGGTCTTTTGTTGGGAAGGGTGGCATCTTCTTGGACGATCCGGTCATTTCACGTGACCTACATAAACATGTTTAAACATGTTTGCTTTGAATATCTCGCTTGAGCCATGAACCGTTGTGGGTCCTCGGTTGGCGAGGAATGCTACAAGGTCCTTGGCTTTTCTTTGCCCCCTAGCATGCGAGGTCGGTTGGGATAAAGGTATAGAATGTGTTTACAGTTTGTTACCAGGACCCTCCAAGGGGTGCCCAATGGAAGCTCCAGGTAAGCAAATTCGCCTGGAATGAACATGCACACTTTCTCGTTCTCTGATGCCAACTTGTGATGAAAGCGAGCGATGAGAAACCACCCAAACGGTCACCGGGACCCATGTGTTTCAAGCAGAAACAGCATCCTCTCTGTGAGTCGAGAACCATGCTAGAACGGTTATGGCGTTTGTTCTGCAGACATATGCAGACCATCGCGGGATCCTCAGCTCCTTCTACTTCAGCAGGCGAGTGTCTAGCCGATGGTTTGCCGGCAGCATGGCCGTCGCTCGGCCCAAGGTGAACGGCAAGTTTCGCTTGGACGGCCCAGGCAACGTGGAGACCAGACACTTGGCAAAGCAGACATCACAGACACAGGTCTCGGTGTTGGACAGGTCTCGGATGTGTCTCCCAGAGATGGGCAATAGGTCATCCACGAAGGACGGACTCGGACTCCAGGACTGGGTAGAAGGGGATTGGTTCGAAAAAGTTGGGGGAGAGAGAGAGAATGCCGCGACGTGGGCGAAAGCCATGAGTTTGCCACATCCGAAAAGCAAGTGCGAAGTGATTTGTGAATTGCTTCATGTTCGCCTGCAGCTCTTTTAGAGCTCTTCGCATCCCCTAATGTAGACATGTAGACTCTTGACTATACATAAAACCCCCGCCATTTGGATGTGTAAAGCCTCTTCAGCGTACATATCTCCTTCCTTCGGAACCACCGCCAACCTCCGACCCATCGCCCACCTCGCCATACCAAACTCTCACCCGTCTCAAGGTCGCCCGACCTCGCTCACACCGGACGCTCACCAAACACCGAAGCCGAGGCCGTCCGCTGTTTCTGGCTGTGGACCTGATCGGGAACACCGAAGCCGTGGCCCTGCTACCGGAGGCGGGCGAAGCATCGAAGCAGGGATTCTGCCGGTGACCTGACAGGTTTTGACCTGGTTGTGACCTGGTGTTTTCTTTCATAAATTCAACACCAAGAACTCAGTATCCCAGTATCCCATGATTTCTGCAGGACCAACGGTTTCTTCCCCTGGACTCATCCTTTCACCATGGGTTGGACCATGCTTGGACCATGGTGGATCACCATATTCCATATTGCTCTCCAGCCACATGGTAGGCCCGATGCCCGGCCGGCGATGGCGCGGCCGCACGCCATGCGAGCCACCTGCACCTCGGCCGTGGCCAGTCGTCCGGAGTTGGAGACGTGGTTTTGGGCACCTTCCGGTGACGGTTTTATAGGAGAATGACCTGCACTAAGCATCATGCACTGTTACTGATGGAATTTGGAATAGATTATCCAATATCCATGGCTTTGCTTAAGGTGATCATGGGGGATCATGGGGGCGAAACGGTGTGGGAGCATGACGTCCGAAACGCCCACGCTGGGCTGGGCTCATTGCGGCCAGCTTCCCGCTTCCCGCTCGCCGGCGGGGCTTCACACAGTTACGAGGCCAAGTAGTAGGATGGATGATTTTTTGAGGCCATTTGAGGAGGGAAGCCATGAAAAATATAGAGAGAACTGGTGAAGTGACCTTGAAAACCTCGAGCGGTGATGAGGTAAACGATGGCAAAGTCCTTTGCCCGCAAGCTAGTGCACCCCTGCGGAGCGATACTTTTTGCACGGGTCGATTGGCTTCCCGGAACAGAGACCTATTTTTGAGATGCCTCCCATGTAGCTTACATGTTCAGCCCCAGTGCTGCTAATTTGATCCGAAGAGATTGTGCGAACTTTCCATGGTTGTTGGACACTGGGTGCAGTGAAACGATAGATTGGTCCATTGCCTCCCTTGTCCTGGTACACAAACCGGCTCACCCTAGCTCGTTCTCTTCGGCTCATCCGAGCTCTTCCAGCCAAGCAGAGGTGACCAACCATTCAGACGCCTTAAGAGGCGGAAAATGCACTAACGCGTGTGCCCACCATTCAGAGGCCATGGAAGTGGAGGTTGAGTCAGCTTTCCGAAAAAAAAGTAGCCTGCTTTGGAAAGCAACAAAGCAGCTATGCTTGGTTCGAGGACTATGGGTTTCATGATGCTTTCGCGTGTTGTACCTGTGAGGCTTCAAAGCATATATGATTAGCGCCCAGTCTGCTGGAAGGAATTGGGAGTGATGGCGGCCATGCCTGTGTTGAAGTTGCCTGCAGATGCATGCCACAGGCCGCAAACCGCAGCGTGCCAAAGGTCCGTAGCAAGGTCCGGCTATTCGACTGGAGCCGCTCAAGATTTGGAGCCGCAGTCTTCAAAAGCGCGGCGGGAGACCCACATTTGTCGACCCGGTCTTCCGGCGAGATCGCCTTTCGGATCGAAGGAAGAAGGAGCCGGAGTCCTTGTTCTTCTGTGCGTGGCGAAGCGAAGAAAGTGTGACACCACTAGCGCGCTTTTTTCGTGGGCGTTCGACTTCACTGGAGAATCCACTCGTTTTGTTTCCCGAAACTTGGGCGTGTGACCACGCGTATCTCTTTGCCCTCGAACGAGGGGAGCGGCCCCAAACCGCTCGTGAGCTGTGTGGACCGAGATGCGGTGTTTCACCTGCCTTCCACGTGCCCGGTGCCGAGGAAGCCGAAAGGGGGCTTCCACCGGCCCTCCTTGGGGCGACAGCTCCGGCTGCTGGGCGAATGGACGGTGGAACACCTGGGCCACGAGGACTTGCAAGGCGCAGAAGCTGCGCGGAAGCTGCGCGGCTTGGGGTGCGGCGTGGGCTGGGCTGAGGGGTCTAGGAAAGGAAAAGCCATCAAAACCGGAGAGAAAGAGAGAGAGAGAGAGCTGATTTTTGGAGGATCAACTCTCCAAAACAGGGTCTTTTCCTATCAAAACAGAGGTCGCTCAGGCTCTAGGTAGAGTCTAGAATAAGTCTAGTTCTGGCTGAGTCCAACTCGGTTCGGAGATCCTCCTAGTTGTTTGGAGATTTGAAGGATTTCAGGTGGGTTCCCAAGCAGACTCATGAAAAAGAAGATGACTGGGTGGGCATAGGCTATATATGTAAGTCTCCCAGTGTTCTTTCTTCGATATGGTTCTTCCAATTCAGTCGCTTCACGACAGATGCGCCCCTCAGATGCGCCCCTCACCGGTCGAAACCGCATCAGTCGGTCCACTTGTTATGCTGTAGTGCCGAGGTGGTTTCTTCATGCTGTGTCCCTACACGCACACCACACACACATTAAGCATTCAAGAGTGTACACCAACGTCTACTGCAAGATGGCAAAATCTGTTGCATTCTGAAGCTTTGCTGCTCACCTGTAAAACGTTGGCAAAACGCACCAAACACCTTTGCTGTAGCATCATCATGCATCATCCTTAACAGACAAAGTACTGTAGTTGCAAAACTCGATTGGCAATCTTCTCTTCCCACCATTTCCGGACCAAGCCGTAAAGCTTTCCGCACTTGTTCGCCTTCTGGAAGACGCAAAGCTTTCCTTCCTTCCCCGGCCCAAGACCGGGAGAGGTCGTCGCTCCTGCTTCCGTCGACGGAAGACGGAAGCTCCGCCAGGCACTGCCTTGGGCGCTTTGGCCTTGGACTCGACGGCTGAGGGGCTGCGATACTTCGAGGCGCGGAGAGAACACATCTCCGACGGGTTCGCTTCGGATGGGCGGTGGATGGTCTCCGGCGGTGGCGGTTTGGCGGGTGCAGGAAACAAGGGTGACGAAGGGAGGAAGTGGGTCGAGCATGCCCGCCACCGTCGGACAACGGGCCCCACGGGCTGCTCGACCACGCGAACCACGATGACACCACAGCTATCAAAACCTCACCACGCCAACCGTGGAGGGTCTGTCAAGATTGGTCAACCAGGGTGGTTTTGGACTCTTGGTTTCAGGGAAGCACCTCAAGCGGCACAAGGATGTTTTTCCCACTTTAACATTGGCAGCATGACTGACAAGTGTTCCCTGTTCTTGACTTGGTTACAAACTCACCGAAAACCAAGGAACTATGGGGTTCTTCACTGAAGGATCCTAATTTAGTAGGCTCGTAGAGATGAGCAAAATAATTTCAAGAAAACATTGCAGTTATGTTGGTTCTGTGGACATTATGTGACATTTCTATATACATTACAAAGAATGTGTGGATTCGTTTCTCTCGATATTTGTTCCAAGTCTTTGTGTTTCTTGAACGGAAGACACGCGCGTCTTCGTGTCTTCGTGTCCTGTGCTGCCAATGCCAGGTCCACATTGACGAGGTCCACATCGGCCGATGCTCCGAAGACGGAGCTTGAAAGCTTGTTTCCGAATCAAGATCCGGTTGGTTTAGGAGGTTTTGGAAGTTTTCAGGTGGAGGTTTTTTTGTGAGAGAGCTGCTTTGTGAGCATGCGCCTGAAACACCGTAGGTGACCAGAACAGGTCTGTAGCATTTGGTCGGATCCTCTCCTTTGTGTGAAGCAGAAGCTACAATCGTCCTTCCCATGGGCCCCCTGCTTCGTTGATCGTGACATGGCAAACAGTCCCAGACACTCCATGTCTGTCATATATGCCGCCCCAGACAGAGCCCTCTGGCACCACCACCCCTGGCCTGATCGGTAAATATGCCAGTCCCAAACAGGTCGTGTCTGGGAGTTGTTTACATGCCCTAGGGCTCCTGGCCCATATCCTCAGGTTCGGTGGTTAGACCCCCCTGGCACCCACCCCAACCATCTTCTCAGGAGGTGGGCCAGGAGCCCTATAGGGATGTTCACTATCCCTATCCGTTTGTTGGTCTCGCCTTTCCCCGGTCCTTCCGGAACGCTTCACCGCTCAGAGGTCGGAAGGTCGTGGCGGCATCCTGCGATGCCGAGTCTTCTCGGAGAACCCTTCAATCCGAAGACCCCGCAAAGATGCCAACAAAACACAGGGTGGGTGAAGGTGTTTTTTTCCTCCGTGCACGTCAGTCATGGATGTTCAGGGAGTTTTTGTTGGAAAGAAACATGGCTGCGCTCTGTACATACCGAGCGCTCTGTACATATGTCGCCCGCCAGTTTTTGTTAAAAGAAACATGGCTCTCATCCCCTACATCCTAACATTCGATAATTTTGGTGTTTTTTTGGCAGTAGTGCAGAGACCAAAAAGGAGAGAACCTCCCGGAAAACGTCGTGTTTAAATCCTCGTCACCAGGCCCTGCTGTGACTGCCAGGTGATCGAGGGCAAAGCAGACGGACTGGCGATCGGCGTGACCAGTCACAGGTGCCGCGGCAGGGAAGTGCAGGCGTTCTCCATGGCCCAGGCGTTCTCCCGAGACTGAGTGAAATAGAAGCGTGAAGAAGGAAAGGTCATTTTGCTTGATCTGTTCAAACCCTTTTTGGGTCTTACGGACCTCATTGGACTGGGTCCGGTCATGCAAAACCAGTACTCGATGAGGTCAAGGACCAGATTTAACTTGGCCCGTGGACTGGTAGGGAAAAAAAGACCTGGAGAAACACAAATAGGTTCGGTGATGATCTCCTTGGCTGAAAAGGCATCATAAAACCAGCATCGGGGATCCGAGCTAGAGCTCGGAAGGCGGGGAAATCCGGCAAACGAGATGACCAGTTGGGATGGAACACCTTGGGGGAGTGCCATTGAATCAGACTTTGATGCATATCACCACAGCTGAGAATGCTACGGGCAGCCTATATTCAGTGCGTCTCAAAGACCAGCGAACAAAGAAACTCGCAGGCACACAGGCGTTCGGCATCTACGCCATGAACCTATCACAACATGGTGGGCGTGGACCTGATAGACCCCTCGTTCCTGGCAAAAACAGGGAATGAGATTGTTCGTAGCTGCACCTGCGTTGCCTCTCTTGGCCGCACCTTCAGACCTCCAGTCCCCTCACGACCCCAGCGCTCGCCTCGACCAGTCGACCCGCTCAGCCGCGCTGTGCCGCCGAGGCCCGAGGAGATCCTGGAGCCGCCGAGCTCCTCGGACGCCCTGCGCCCCGCGTGGCTCGTAGGCTTCGATGGCGCCGCCTGGGATGGACAGCGCATGGCGCCTGGGACGACCGAAGGGCGCGTAAAGGGGAGAGGACGGGACGGAGTGAGTGAGTGATGAACTGGTGGTTCCGTTCGGTTTCAGGGTGAAATTGATTGGGCTTCAAATCGATTTGACCTGATTACTGAAGAGACCTGATTTGCCATTGTTTTGATGTGCTGTGTCATTTTGCTGTTGCGAGAAAGTGTAACCTATAGCTACGGTGGCGGCAGATCTCTGAAGAATCACTCTCAAGGGTCCAAACACGGGGACCCTGGTTTGACCACCGAACATGAACAGAAGGGGTTCGAGATCAACCTCCTCCGGGTTTTGGCGCTCCAGGTTTTGACACCCACGAAATCCTCTGCGAACCGGTGGTGAAACTCCAGGTAAACATGATCATTCCAGAAAGTCTACGACCAACGATTATTTGTTTGGACCCGCTCCGGTCCCTGAAAATCCGAATTGCTGCAAACCGTTTTCACGGGATTGGTGGGAAGATGTCCCGCGTGGACCTCCCAAAAGTTGGCCACCTCGTCCTTCCTTACGGGCATGGTCAATGGCTCAACATCCCCCTAAGACATCTGATTGATGAACTTGCATTTCCTTCATTAAATCTATGGTTCTACCAGGAGTCACAAAGGGTGCCTATTGGAGGAAGTCGGGGTGCCCATTATCCACTCACTTAGGGACTAAACACCACCCCTTTGTGACTCCTGGTACCAGTTCATTGACTTGACTGTAAAGCTCACTTGTATTGATCGACTGAGGAGTGGTTCTTGAGCACCTGGGACACGCGGCAGCTCCGCGCCGGCGACGCTGTAGGCGTGGAGGGAAGAGACGGATGGAGGGGAGGGGTTGGGAGTGGTGCGAACCAGAATGAAACTGGTCGGTGACAAATGCATGAATGGAGCCATCGGAAGAGCCAACATCAACGAAAAGACCATGTATAGACTTAGACTCTTGATTGCTTATATCAGCATAGACCAGACCACAGTTTCAGCAGGAGTTGGTGCGTCAATTCCTTGAATTCCAATGTTGGAAACATCTGTAATGATACTCTACTAGTAACAGGTGCCACGCTAGTAGTAACAGGTGCCTTACTAGTAGTAACAAAAAGCTATTAGAAACAATAAGCTACTAGTAACAGGTGTTTGGGCGCGGTGGACCAGACCGCGCCCCGTGGACCAGACCCGGAACGGCCGCGATTGGCGCGCGGCGAAGTTAGGGGCGCCGCATGCTGCATGCTGCATGTGCTCATACCGGTGCTCTCAAGTGTTTGCTCACATGTGTGACCACCCTTGTTTTGTTCTGCTTAACACTGTTTCAGACCTCTTGCTGAAATAGTTGTTTAATGCAAATATGTCCATTGAGATTCTGGTTGATGGGATTTTGCACATAACCATCCTTTAACAAGACTGATGAACCATTAACCCCCAAACAACAAATCCATCGTCCAAGAAACCTTCTATCGTTCATGTTCATGGCATTATTCTTCTTTGATGGTGTTGTCAATGTGTCCTGACATTGGGTTTCCAAGAGTTGGTTGGGGAGATATGGTGTCACTATCCGATTGATGGGATGTTTGCCCTCAACTGGGTCGTGGTTTGGAGTAGTGTCTACCTCTTCATCACTGTTTGGAAGTGGCCATCCCCGTTAACTGAGATGCTTGGGGATGGTTTGAAGCTTCAAGCACCAACAGACAGTGTTCAGAATGGATTCCACAAACCAGTATCATGGAAGCTGAGTAGACTCTTTGTAGAGGAACCTGCTCTTCGAGGGACCTGTTAACCATAGTTGGACAGTTTCTCATTTCCGGACCCGCATCTACCTCTATGTTTTCTTCTTGCAGGAGGTTCCTTTACCACCAACCAACCAAGACCACCGCCAAGCAGCACGCAGCACGCAGCACGCAGGTGCCTTGGTGGACGCTCAGGGCGTCCTAAGGATCTTCGTGAACGGCACTCAAGTGGCACGGCTGAGTTTAAGATGTTTAAGGTACCTCCAGTATCCTCGGTGGTGGGTGTTTTAGGGATGATCATGGGATGATTTTCCTGTGAGTTATAGTCGTTGAGTATGTGTTTTTCTTGAAGGCGTACCTCGAAGAGTATCGGACGATCGCCTCGAAGAGTATCGGGTTGTATGTGGAAGTTCCGGGTCTTCACACTGCCCCCCAATGAAAACGGATTCGACGCGGAAAACCGAAGGACAGCGGTGGATGTTGGAGGAGAAATCATGTTTGAAGATGTTTGATCCAAAATGCTTCCTTGTGGATGCTTCGTTGGAAAGAGGGGAGAAACAGAAGGTGGGGAACAGTGCCAACATGGGGCAATCTTGCCAGTTTCCACTACCCTTTGAGATGTATGCCGTATTTGGCTTTAGACTCGGCCCCAAAACTGCAGGATCTTGACAATCGACGGATTGTTCAATCACATCAAAAATTGCCTATTGATGCGCCTCTCGATGTGGCCCTTTCCTTTGGCCGTTTCTTTTTTGGGGGGAACCAGCTGCGATCGATGATGTATCAGCCATTTTAGGACGGAGGGAAGGGCCGCCCAACTCATCTCTTCCCACCCGGCCAGCGAACGCGTGTCGCTTCGCGTGCACCATGGTGATGTTGCCCAAGGTGGCCAGGGGTCCCACCATCCCGCTGCAAGTGCAGGCGAGGGGTCTTGGGCCGCGGAGGTCCGACCGAACGGAGGTCCGATCAAGGAGTCGATGCCTACGATGTACTGAACTTGGCTGATGACCGGTGATATCCCCTTCGCATAAACCACCAACAGTGGAGAAGGATTGTATCATGAGAAAACCAACGCATTGCGCGTGGTAAATATGATGGATGGTGCTTACCAAATGTGAGGTGGTTGATTGTACCTTAGTAGGGCAGATGCCCATACTACCCGAAGTCGACGGAAGTCGACGGACAGGTGGTCAAATTGCAGTGGAAGACCTGCACGACTCGCTCGTTCAATTGACCCAGCCAATGACCAACCCGGTCGTTTGCTCCAAACATGCCACGAAATTGGCCCGCGGAGATGATTGCCAATGGGCTTTCAGCAGGTTTGGACGATCGCACTTGCGAGCTTCGGTTTCCAAAGGAGTCATAGTACCTCCGAAACCATTTACTTACAGACAGTTCCATGACAGGCTTGGTTGGTGCGAAGAGTAGGTTTTGTACCTTAGCGAACTACCTTTGTGATGTCGCTGTGCCATGCGGAAAACCACGCGGCCTGGGCGGAGCCGTACGTTTGCGCTCCGTGCCGTTAGGGAGCAGCAGAAGTGGTGGTTTCCCGCACCGCCCACCAAGGCCGCGCATGGCGCCGCATGGCGCGTCATGGCGCATCACAGACGTCATGGCAGCCACACGGTGTGCCACAGACTGGCAGCCCAGAACGTCCAAGTTTGAGCCCCACCTATTGAGCAGCTACTTCCCGCGCTATACATGTGTATACTACATAGTTGCCATTTCTGAGGCCAGAGTCGGTGACAGCTACGCGCTTTATCCACCTTGACTTTCGGGAACTACGCACACTGGCGACTTTGACCCTCGATCTTCAACGACAAACGCGCGCGATCTCCGCAGGGGGTTCACCACACGCTTGAGCACTCGACACGCACAACCTCCGCAGAGGTTCGCGCTTCGTAAGCATGGGCCAGGCCCGCCCACGTTAAGAGAAGGTTTGAAAGATGTTGAAGTTGTAGTTGTGTAGGCGCATTTTGTTGGAGGTGGCTTTGCCTCTATCTCAACATTTGTATCTACACAACTGTATACAAACACCTGTACTTATGTAGGTGTGCTTTAGCAGTTGCATCACCTGCATCTCTGCCCCTGTGTGATGAAGATGAGATAAAAGATGATGATGGTGATGATGATGACCATTGTGCTGGTGATGGTGATACTGATGACGATAAAAATGTGGTATATAATGGTTGTGATGATGACACTGCTGATTGTGTTGATGATGGTGATGGTGATGATGATAACAATGTGGTGATGTGATGGTGTTGATGACTGTGACCATGATGATGAAGATGGTTGGACAGTTGTAGTTGGCAGCATTTTTTGACACAGAACCCATCGCAGGTGCTTGCATTGTTCCAAACTCCCAAGGTGTCCAAATGTCGAAGTGCTGTGAAAGTTCTTAGGTGTGGTTTGAAACCGTCATTGAAACGAAGGTGTGAAACCCTGCTCGTGACCCTAAGGTGTGGTTCTTCCTGCTCAGTTGTGGTTTTAATGAAGACTAAGAACATCTGAGAACCCTTTCACTGAACCGTCATTGAAACTCTGGTGATTTCGCCAGGCTTTGTACCCTGTGGTGGACTTGTTGGGGGCTGTGAAGCGCCTCTCTTTGCTGCCGGTGGCCACTGCCCCCACGGTACCCGAGGCAAGTGGAGCGTGAATGACGTGTTTGATTGAAACACCGTAGGTGACCAGAACAGGTCTGTAGCGTTTGGTCGGATCCTCTCCTTTGTGTGAAGCAGAAGCTACAATCATGACAATCATGATGTCCTTCCCATGGGCCCCCTGCTTCGTTGATCGTGACATGGAATGAAAACAGTCCCAGACACTCCATGTTTGTCATATATGCCGCCCCAGACAGAGCCCTCTGGCACCACCACCCCTGGCCTGATCGGTAAATATGCCAGTCCCAAACAGGTCGTGTCTGGGATACATGATGTGGTCAGCCCTTAACCCTCGTGGAAGGAAGACACAAAAGTAGCGTCCCTGCTCGAAGAGTCCGAACTGAGCAAGGTCGTGAAGTGGTGTGAAACGAAGCGAAACCATCAAAGGGTGCGGATGAAATTGATATGAAATGCTTTTAGCCCCCTTCAACTTGTTTAGTCCGTTGGATCGCTCTTCAGATGTTCCTTCCTGTGCGTGCGTATGAGAAGTGGGACTTCAGTGAGTGCTGAACGCAGCGAATGTTCCCCGGATTGGACCGGTGACTTGGTGGTTGGGTGGCATGAACCCTGGGACCCCCAAGAGTTTTCTTACACTCCTGAAAGTGGAAAACCACCTGTTTGTCGTGGAAAATGGTCTTCCAAGGGGCCATTCTCCACTTCCATGTTAGTTCCAGGGAGTGTAGGTTTTTTTCCAAGAGCTTTGCCAAGAACTGCAGGCATATTTGATTTGAACATGGGGGCCGCATGAAACCTGGGGATCTTGATGATTCAGTCACCAACATTGTGGAAAAGTCATGGGACAGCCACCCCCACTGTTTTTGACCATGGAATCCTGTGACTATTCTGAAAGTCGAAAGCTTCCTAGACCACAGCTTCTTCACATGATGCTGGCTATGTCCAAAGGACCCAAACTAAAAGGAGGGCCCAAACCAAAAGGGTTGCTACCAGGGTTCAACTGGCAGGGGTGTGAGCCAAAGTTCCTCTTATTTGTGCTTAAATCACTTAAAATGTGGTTTAGATTAGATGATCAAGGTTGGATTTGTGCCTTTGATGATCCTTATGCTTCTCCGTTCCAATAGTTTGGTGGGCGGACCTGCAGATATAGAGGTGTGCCGTCACCGACGACTACTCTACATGGGTATGTCGGTAGAACCCTGGTGCAGGCCTCAAACCCATGAGCTTAAGGAACCGGGTATTGGGCTTCGGGGCAGTTGGTTTCTTTTTCTCCCGGTGGAGGTTCACCGTGATCGGTCGGGGTCTGCACTCGGTGATCGGTCGGGGTCTGACATCGGTGGTGATGTGGATGGGATGACCAGGGCATCCGAGGGCCAAAGAGGTGGAACGATGTGAACTCCACGTGTTTGGCTTTCTCATGGACCTGAAGGCATGCAATTCTTGGCATGCACACGGCCAACCTGTGGGTCGGTCGCCCACATAACAACTCCATCGGTGTTGGGTCTTTGCCATCTACCAGTGAATCTTGAGGAGTACCATGGCATACCACAGGACAAGGTACCTGATTTTTGTTGCAGCCGTGGCCAAGTCTTCAAGTATACCACTCTATGTTCCTCCAGGTCTGTTTCAAAATCGCCACAGGAACCGCCCACTCCAGTGGTGAGCTACATGACCTGCTTCCATCGAGAGAAGGCAACGGCGAGCATCGAACGATGAGTAGACTGGGCGGAAGCGCTTCCGTGTCCGTTTTCGCAACACGTCGAAACGAGCGCTTTTGCGATGCACATTTTGGGTAAGAAGTAGCTGCTTAGCTCAGCGTTGCAAAAAGATCTTTCTGGGTCATCAAGGCTGTCATTGAGCCGTTTCATGATCAGAGAGAGAGAGAGAGCAAAACAAAAAGATGGATGTTCCATGGCTTCCACACACAGGCTGTGTCCGATTCATTAATTGCGCGGCAGCGAGGTGGGCGCGAAGATCCTGTTGTCGGAGGATGGAAGCAGTGCACAGAGGGCCACCTACGCGAGTAGCGCCTGGGAAGGCGGCTTAGTTTTTGGAGATGGACCTTTGCCAGCGCGCGAGGCAGGATTGCAGGTGGATACAGGAGAATCACGGGCTTTTGGGAGGAGGATTCAAGTGCATATTTGGGGGGAGGATGATACGTTTGATATAATACGATTTGATCATTTTCTTGGGAAATTCTTCGCTAGACTGATGGAATTGCTTGGATTGGAAAGCCTGGACATGTTCAAAGGTATTCAAACACTGATAGAAACATGGTCTTTTTTGCCCCCCAAAAGGGTGAAGTGCACAAGTCGGCGTTGGTTTCGCCTCAGGCATCTATGTAGATAGGTATGGGCCATGAGGATGCTAGATGAACATCCCGCAGGAGTATGCTTTTGTTCGTTCACCCTGCGGTGTTCACCAGACACCGCAGGATGAGAGATGACACGCCGCGCACAGCAAAAAACGAATCGTCACAGACGGCTTGTTGCAAACCCTTTGCCTCCTCCCTGTTCAACAGCGATTTTGGGGACAGGACACTTCCAGCAGAACAAGACGTCGACGGTCCGAAACCCGAAACCCGCTGGGCCGTCGCGTGACCGGACCGGGGTGTGACCGAAGCCCGAGACGTTCGCCGTTTGGGGACCGCACCGCACCTACCGGTCCGGGCCCACCAGAGTTGCAACCGGTTGCTGGCTCTGGATCGGCGTTTCGTTTTGCGGGAGCTGCTGCCGTGCT